TGTGTGTGTGTGTGTGTGTGTGTGTGTGTGTGTGTGTGTGTGTTTGTGTGTTGTGGGTGTGGCTTCCCTCCTGGCTCCCTGCTCTGCACACCTGTCTGCAGTTAGCTCTCCGATCCGATTTACTCACCTGCATCTCTCAACTCAATATTTCATACACAGCTCGGCAGACATCCAGCATCAGATTGTTCGGTCACCTGGTAGCATCCTTTTCAGGCTCCCTCTGTGTCTTGTGTTTCTTTTGTAATACTGCTGGCTAATCTAAACACTTCTCTCTCTTCTTCTCTTCAGGACTACACGTCACCTGTCTGCCTGCCAGCTTTCTTACCAGCCACCTTCAGTGAGCCATTCACTCTTGCTCCTCATCATCTTCATCATAGTCATTGTCGTTCCCCTCAGCAACTTTACTGGAATAGATCCTCCTTACTTCACAACACTTTGGTGTCTGTGTCTTGCACTTGGATTCATCCATTAACCAAACACATCGCATGTAAAGCATAAAGGGAAACAACATCACAGTACAAAGCATCTTCCACCTATAGGTCTGTAGGCTGCTGTCTGAATGTCCTTAATGAAAACCTTTTTCTTTAAACATACTCTGAGCAGAGGACACATTTTTGTTGTTGAGATAATGCAAAAGTAATGGAAAGTAATAGATTTAATTCTGTGTATTGTTGTATTGGATTACATTTTAAAAGTAAACCACCGCCTGGAAATGGTCTTCACGCCGATGGTCTTGTTTCTTTATGTAGGTCATCACTATTAAAGAGACTGTTTAATAACCAGTTAAAACACTTTGCAGTACTTTTGTGGCAATTATATCTTCTACTGGTTGAGATATTTCAGTCTGGGCCAAAGTGTTGGACCAAAGCACATTAATGTAGAGCCTAGAGCAAAATTACAAGTTTCTTTTTGTCTAATTTTTAAAAAGAAAAATATGAAAGCAGGAAGGTCTGCAGAGGCAGAGAGAGAGAGCGCCACAAAAATATTAAGTCCCAGTGTAGGTCTTTGGAACCAGTGACGAGACACTTTTGTGTGACTACTCCCCCACACCGGAGAGTGAATCGGGTAATAGGGTCTAATGTATGCATGACAAGACATATCTAAACAGGAATCACCTCAGCACTGTCTGCACATTGCCTTCATTTCCCTGCTGTAGCATTTGCATTGTGGATATCAGGTTACTATGACAACTGAATAAAACATTGGGACCTTGAATGAGAGGCTAAAGAGGAGCGTTACAAAGTTTCATCTGAGGAAATGTGTCAGGTGTTAGCATGTGGCTCAGAGGAAAGGGGAAGGCTTTTGCTGGAGCCTTAATGACGAATCAAAACACTTGTTTGTGCCAGCGGAGAGACTCTAAATGCCACAAATTAGGATGGATGGTACCACAATAATAACCAGTATCAAGGACAATTTTCCCTCTCCTCCATCTCACTTTGTGCACCTGCAATTGACGCAGCAGGTTGCAGAGTTTGTGACTTGACGCTGATGTGTGGGACTGTCAGCGCAACAGCTGCTGAAGACCACTTTTGAAGCAATTACGTTCGCTTTGACTGTAAGGTTTCGCAGAGAGGAGAGCAGCATGCTAATCAATCTAAGTGTCTAAAACATCTTGTTCAGCTCTCCCAGCACTTCCATCAGACGTGGCTGATTGGTTTATTTCTTTTGTATTTCTTTGTAGACATTTTGAGGCTCTTGGGGTAATTTTTTGTCTCTTCGCAGTTGATTTGTGTTTCTTTGCAGCTAATTAGTGTCTGGTCACTTTGAGTGGTCGTTTAGCATGTGTTTGTGGATATTCTTGTCTTTGTTTTTCTTTGTGGTCGTTTGGCCTCTCTATCTGGTCAGATTTAGTCTCTTTGCAGTTAAATTTGTGTCTCTTGCAAATGATTTGTGTCTTGCTGTCCTTTTGAATCTCTTTGTGGTCAGTTTAGTTTATTTGCAGTCAATTTGTGTCTCTTTGCAGCTGTTCTGTATGTTTTTGCTGTCACTTTTTTTCTCTTTGTGTCTCTTTGAGATCTACTCATGTGTCCTTGGTCATTTTAAACCTCTTTGTAGTTGTTTAGCCTGTCTATCTGGTCAGGTTTAGTCTCTTTTCAGTGAATTTTTGTCTCTTTTTAGTCGATTTGTGTATCTCTTCCAGTCACTGTGCATCTCTTTGGGGTTGTTTTGTATCTCTTTGTTTGATTGACTTTCCAAAAAGAAATGTTAACACAGACAGAGGCTCTACCTACCTAGGGTCAGAGGAGTCGGGGCCCCTGAGCTTGTGTACAGCCTGTTTAGTTATCCATTCGTGGTTATTCATGTTCTAGCAAGCCTGTCTTATCACAAACTATCCCTCCTAAATATGAAATTTTGTGAACAATACATTCCTCATTATGGATAAAAGAATACAATTTTAGAGGCAATTACAGGAGGATAAAAGCCTCGCAGACAGAACAGGCTACAGCTGGTAGATTACCATGTCTTATAACAAATGCTCCTGATGATTGACAGAAAGAGAAATGGGCCTAATTTAACAAGGGTCAACAATCCAGCGGAGAACGCACTGTCAGGTTTATTCCCTCTGGTTTGCCAATTCATGTCTGTACTGAAATAGTTTTTCAGTAATTGAAGAGTCACATTTTGTCACAGTCAAGCAAGTTACATGCTCAGTCTTATCCTCAAGGATCTGAATAAATATTTATATAATTCAAGATATATATATATTATAGTCTCTCTTTTGTGAACAAGATAAATGTTCCCATGCTGCTGTTTCACACCTCCAGACTGCTCGTATGATGCTATAGTGAGGTGTTAATTATTCATTTTAGGGCGTGATACATGTAAACAACTCGACACATATTGCATTCAAAAGAGTCAATACTCTTAATAGCTTCAGTGTGATATTTTACAATATATGAAGTTAAGAATTTGAAATAAAGGTGCCCCTCAAAAGTGGACTGGTCATTCTTCAATCACACATTTATTCACAGTGAAACAAAGAAACAGTGTTCATAAATAACCAGAAAGTCATCCTCTGTCACATGATCTGTCACACACACACACACACAAGTTTAAAATAATATCTGACTTATTGCAGCCCACGCATGTCTGATGAGTTGCACTGTGTAAAATCTATTTAAAGTTTTTATCCATTTGTTTGCTGATTTTCTCTCTTAACCTTTAATCTTTGTGTCAATGTTTAACAGTGAGCAATAGTAACTTGTTGTGTAATGCTGGTTAAAGTATTTCCACAATTTATGGTAATTACTCCAAAAGTATTCTGACCACAGGATGCACAAATATGCATCAAGATAAACACAATTCAGTTACTCTTTCAGGGTTTGTTTTTTACTGTAACTGAGAAAACAACAAATTCAATAACAGTAAATGTTGAGATTACATAAACAATGATTGACAATGTAAAAATTAATTGTAATAAAGAAAAGTATCAACATAAAGTCATAAGATGTAATACAGTAATTAGTAGTATTAAGTAGAGTTGTATATAACATTTACAACAGTAAATTAATTTAGAACTAATTAATTAACTTAGAAAGTTGAAACAGGAACACACTCGCCTCCAAACTCTAGTGCAGTGGTTTCCAGAACTTACTGCCAATGAATTCACCACCTCATCCACACCACCATTTATTTACAACTTTTTAAAGTATTTATACATCACTCACTAGCTATTTTAACCATTTATTAATCAACTATTTCATCTATGTATCTATCCATTTCATTACTTTCAGTTTACTGTTTAATCTTCTCTGCTCGTTTGCTAACTAACGTTTTTACGCACTCTCAACACATGTGGTTGCCAGACCTTTGAATCTGCCCACTCAGAGTAAACTGAAGGAAATACACGAATTATTCACCAGTGTAACAAATTCTGTCTGATATCAAGCAACACGCCTGAAAAATAAACAAATCAAACGTCCACAATCACAAAACAGCTGTAATAAAACGATACCTTCAGGTAAATCCTTCAGTCAGCGAGTTTGGGGAGTAGATAAAATTACATATATCAATATTTGCTGTCACACATCTGATGATGGTGGACGTTACTGTGCCAGCAGCAGTTGCTATAGCAACAGCATGTCCAGCTGAAACCGACTGATGGTGACAGAACAGTTATTCAGAAGAGGCACAACATTATCACTACTGTGATTACTGTGAAAGCACTTAGGATACGTTACAATCAGGCACTGGGTACATTTGTAATCAGGAACTTACAAAATAGCTTTAAAGGACGTCTGGTGATGTTACATGTATTTTTCTTCTGTCAACAAATCACATAAAAGACTGAAAACAATGAATTTATCCCTGAACTGTGTGTGTGTATCTTATTCCTCTGGCGTCGAGCGCCATTATACTCCAAAAAACAATTAAACTAACAATGAGTCACAGTGTTGCACTGGGTGACATGTTCCTTCATTACCATGATCCCAGCCCCACAAACGCTGTCCTACTGTGAGTAGAAACCGCTAAAGCACTAAATCTGTTGTTAATTACAGATCTCAATAATGCACCACTTCCTGTTTAAGTATTAAATACAGTGCTCGGTTGTTTTAAGAAATATCTAAATTTACTTCTTAAAGAAATGGCTAGTCGATCCCTAACATACAGTACAAGGTATATCATACTGGCACAGTGCTACTGTGTGATCACTGTAGTAACCAAATTACAGTTTGCAAGTACACTGTGATTGTAGGATATTGGAAAACTAGTAAATGCCATTACCTTTCCTGCTGCAGGATTTTAATAGAAAACTAAAATGTGGCTCCTGTTGTGTGCCGGTCCTTTTTATTTATCTATATATTTCATTTTCAATCGCATTCTTTTGTAAGATGATTGTAATAACAGTAGTACAGTATTAGTCGTGTTTTTTGGAGAACTAGACTTTGTAATAGTAGTAGTGTTGCGTAGGTATGAATGACATTTCTGAATGTCCACATTTTGCCATGCACGTCATCAGAAATGTTGTAAGAGACTGTTGAGTGAACTCTTTGCTGTCTCAGAATGGCAGCGCCGGCCCTTTTTTCTCTCAGTGAGACTCAGTTTGTTTCCTGTACAGCCGTCAGACGCTCTGTAGCATCAACAACATGGCTATACGCAGGAAAGACAGCTTTCTCTGGGGGAAAGGTATGCTATTATTCCCTTCTTTTTAATCATTATTATGTATTATTATGAACAACTGCTGCTTAAAAACAAATACCAAGGTTATTGTGAGATTATTAAAGGTATATTTGGTCAAATCAGTCCATAGAACTTAAAATGCTGCTAATTTTCATGTTGTGGGTTTTCGACTTGAGATATGTTGACTAAAGTATCTTCTTATATGTGTGGCTTTTGTCTGTAAATGTTATTTCAAAAACTACACCTTAACACGTATTGGAAAGTTCTGTTATTCAGCTTTTGTATCATAAGATACCTGTGCAACATAATCATTTGTTTACCTAAACTAAAACTTAACTTGCTGGTACTATGCTGCAAATCCTCCTCCTGCACAAATGCATAACATAAATTAATTTATGAACTGAAATTCAGTGCACTCAAAATCCACCTGATTCAGTAAAGAGAGGAAACGAAACTGCTATTTTCAGCCGTTCTTTTTCGCTCATTCATTGACCACTTCTCGTGAAGGATAAAGTCGTGGTGTATGCTGGTCTGTGAGTGTAGGTGTGAGGAAGGTTGTCAAGACCGACTGCGTGTGTGTGTGTGTGTGTGTGTGTATATATATATATATGCCACCACTGTACTTGTCTCAGTGCTGAGGTGTGTTGTTGCCACACAGCTCCACCGAAGCTACATCCAGGAGAGCGAAGGCCGAGTGAAACCATCAAGATTCACAAGTTTGAGCTGCTGGATGACATTCAGGTACTGTGGTGAACATATGCTTCCAAGGCCTTACATTAAAATCCCTCATTATTCTTCACCATGCACCCACTCCTGGCAGCCTCGTCGCAGCTTTTTCGCAGCACACAAAGGCATTTTATTCACCTACTTTTAATTGAGATGTGAAGGTTATTTTATAACTGTGGGGGACAAATTGACCCTCTGAGTCAGGTGCCACTGACTCTATGGGTGTCTGTGATGTAATAACACCACTGCTCTCTTTCTCAACTCCCTCTCTCAGAAGCTGAGGTTGGAGATCAATCACGTCATGCCTGAAATCCACAGCCCTGAAATGAAGGAGCAGAAGTGAGTATGAGAACATGTTTTTTTGAGCAGCTCTTTTGTGAGTCAGCATGGCCTCGCTCTCTTATTTAAAGTGACGCTTTGATGGAGTTTAGACTCCCACACCACACGTAATGCTCAGTTTGAAAAAGTCATACGAGCGGCTTTAATGTGATTTTTATTTCTGAAGTCAAAAAAGTTTCTGCTATTCTGCCTCTGCAGTTGAACTCTTTTTTGAACCTGCTAATCAGACCTTCCAACATAATGTTTATTAACATTTATTTTTGTGGAAATGCTTCTCATTCAGTGGTTCCAGACCTTTTGTGTAGCCCCACAGTCCTATGATATGAGTTTAAGTACCTGTTCAGCCATTTATCCATTACTTAAAGCTAACTACTTCGGGTTAATTTCATACATATACCCATTATTGTTAGCCAACTATTACTATTCTCCTTTGTGAACTATTTTCTGTTTATCCTTCACTTTTAGTTTAGTTTTGGAATGACATGAGAAATAATAAGACCAAACTATTCAGTTGTATTAAGTAAGTATTTTGTGTTGCCCATGGTGGACTGTGGACAGAGGACGTAGAGTGTCTGACAGACCTGATCTGATGTTTTAATCCTTAATATAACTGATGCAACTGTGCTTTACTCTATTTACTCCTTTTTCTTTTACCTTTATGTTGAGAGTAGCAGAGGACTGAAATTGATGCACCAAAAGTACAAATTGGTCCATAAAAATTCACCAGAATGCAGGAAATGAAGTGTCTGACAGTAAAAATCTCATGGGAGAGGAACCGGACACCCCACCTGATTTGTGTCCCCCGGCAATGTGCCGCTGGCAAGGTCTCCCTTATTTAACCACCTTGTGCCTTATCACTGAGGACTTATATGTCTAGATGGAGGGAAAGGTGTGTTCATGCCGGCCTGTACTTCATCTCTGAGTGTAATAAAACTGCAGAGCGGTCTGGTGATATTTTGAGTGTCAAAGATAGATTATTTACGTAGTTTAACTTCCTTTTGCTTTTTGCCGCAGCTTTAAGAAGGTGATAATAACATGCAAGTGGCATGATAGTAAATGTTGATACAACTGCTTTACTGGCAGGATAACCACAGTTTCTCAGTAGCTCCTCCCCCCAAACCCCAAAACCCTCAACACCCACTAGGTGATGAAATACACCCTCGCAAATCATGATGGAAATGGTCTGACGAGTTTATTATAAAAATTAAACAATTTATTCCATATTTTGATAGTTGATTTATCATTAAGTCATCTTTATTGAGTCAAGAATAATAAAACAGTTACATGTAGAATGCAGTATGTAATATATAAGGTCAAAGAAAGTCTAGTCCAAGTAAATAGTCTTCTCCGAGCTTATGAAACATCTGATTAACATCTCTGTTTGTCATTTGATTTATTATCAAAATAAAAATTTGAACTTATTATTTGAAAAACTATAGTTTATAATAACAATTGTTATCTTTTACTTTCTTTGCAGTAAGAATGTTGTGAGGAACAGAAGATTCTTACGTGGGAAAAAGAAATTCAACATGGACCCCAAAAAGGTGAGTTTATATAAACAGGAAAATAGAATTTAACCATCTTAGAGACAAATATTGTACTTTTTAGACAGCTTTAGTTACTTTTCAGATAACTTTTTTATACCCTCCCTGTCTAGTAAAAAACATGTAAACACTTCTTAAAGGACCTTGAAGGTCTGTAGGATTTACTGGCATCTAGTGGTGTAGTTGCAGATTGCAACTCACTTGTTTCACCCTACCTTTAAAATCACAAGGGAGAAATTACAGCAGCAACAAAAACAGCCAACGTTTACTGTGATATACTCTAATGAAAACACATCTTTGAATATTATATTAGAAGATATACTTTATTAGAAGAAGAAGAAGAAGGGGAAATTGTTCTTTTCACTCTTTTTCTTATATACACATACAGGCTGAAATACACACTTCTTGCACTTGTGGACATGCAACAGGGAGAGAGATGGTGGGGCTGCCACGTTAGCAGCGCCCCATGAGCAGGTTTTGGGGTTAGATTGCCTTGCTCAAGGGCACCTCGGCAGTGCACAGGAGGTGAAACTGGTACCTCTGCAGCTACCAGTCCACACTCCATATTTTTGTGGTCTGTGGGACTTGAACTGGAGACCCTCCGGTTCCCAAGCAAAGTCCCTACACACTGAGCTACTGCCGCCCATATTGCGCATATTCAATTTCTGACAGTAGATCCTCCTAAATGTTACACACTGGAAGGTAAATACACGGTATTAAAACCTCTCTTGGATTAGCTGCATTGTCACAAACTTTTTAGAGCTACTTGTTTCTCACAGGACAGCGACACTACAAACCTATGATGATCTCATAGAATATGATGCATTACTGTAGATTAAACTAACAGTATATAAAGTAGTTACAATGAGCTCAACCGTAAACATCTACAGAAGTAAAATGCAACATATGCATCAATGCAGCAGTGATATTAATACATGTTTTACTTTATATATAAAAGTAAAACCCTGATAGGGAACATTTCACTGCACAATGAGTGCTTTTGCTGATAAAACTTGCATACTTTTACTTAAGTAAGGTTTAGAAAGGACTTTTACTTGAAGTATAGTGGATTTATTTCATACACGTTGAATTAAATGGCATGTAGCAAGTTTATGTCGACACACAAACATATAATTCTACTTTCACTCACTTCAGCTCCTCTGGATCTGAAGGTCAGAAGGAAGCAAAGATAACTCACAGAGCGGATGTAGATCTGTGTGTTTCTGTGTGATGTGCAGCAGTGCAAGCTGTGCACAGACACATGACTGAATAGCGAGAAAAACCGCATCCTGTTCCCTGAAGTGGGGCAGAAGCGCCACTTCACCACAGCGACCTCCATCTTTTTCATTGCTTCCTCTCTGCGTCCTCGGGTGCAGAAAAAGAGTCTCTCGGCCTGTGACCGCTCTGCTCAGGCCTGAGGAAGTGTACGTGTGGGAGGATGAGAAATTTTAAGACTTCTTGGGGTTAAGAGTACCTTTAAGTGCAATTGATTTGAAGAGCTACTCAGCAGGAGGACGCACTCAGAAGAAAGGGTCATATTTTGAAGATTTGGCTCTGAACAACCTTTGAGATTTCCAGATAGCAGCAGCATGCAATATTCATTCAACCTTTCTTCTGTACTGGTGATTAATGACCACAGTGACTCAAAAGGAGAATAAGAACTTCTTCTTTTTGATGTGTGATACGACTTTCTTGTATGTTTTCTGATAAACATACAAGTTCTGGCCAACATTTTACATGATATATGACCAAACACATATAAAACCTTTGATTAAAAGACAGAATATTACACATTTCAAGACAAATACGACAGATTTCACCTTCTTTTGGCCTCAACAGTCATTCTACACCACATAAAATACAAGTTTCTGTGTGTAAACGTTGACATTACTGATTTTGTTTTTGACCATTTTCCTGGTTTCCAAATACTTTTCACACAAATCTGACTCCCCACACCCTCTGTCTTGCTTCAGGGTGTCCATTACCTGATTGAAAATGACCTGCTGGAATGGCAAGCGGAGTCAGTGGCCGAGTTTCTTTATAAAGAAGAGGGACTGAACAAAACCGCCATTGGCAACTTCTTGGGAGAAAGGTACGGTACACAAACATGTGATCTGGATATTAAAGATCCCCTCCAGTCATGTATGAAGACATATATATGTATGTCTGATGTGTTTTTTCCACAAAAAAATTATAATTTCCACATTAAAATCCTTAAAAAAGCCTCTACCATCTCTCATTAATAATTCCATAATCTATGAATATGCAAATTGTGTTAATTTCTGAAGCTTTCCTGTTGGACACAAGATGTCTACTTCACTGTAATGTCCATTTTCAGTGAGATCATCCTGTACAGTGAAGCTCAAACATCCAACTGAAGGAACAAATACATATTTTTGACTGTTTGGGGACTTTAACATGTGGATGCAACTTCAGTGCTGAAATATACTCTAATACCTCACGCTTCCAATTTGGTGATTTTGTCATTATTTTCTTAACTTTCACTCAGGGAGGAGATGCACCTGCAGATACTGAAAGCCTTTGTGGGTCTGCATGAATTCTCAGATCTGAATCTTGTGCAGGCGCTGAGGTTTGTGTCACAAAATAACTTCTGCACGCAAGCAAGTGTGAAATGTTTCAGCAGTCTTTACCTTTCGTCTTGTTTTTCTGGTGATGTAGAAATCCTCCTCCTTCTTACCAGCATGTGCTTGACATTGTGTGTGTGTGTGTGTGTGTGTGTGTGTTTTTTTACACCTCTGCCATCTTGCAGGCAGTTTCTATGGAGCTTTCGTCTCCCAGGAGAAGCTCAGAAGATTGACAGGATGATGGAGGCGTTTGCAACTCGCTACTGTGACTGTAACCCAGGGGTCTTCCAATCCACAGGTACAAACACAAAGAGGCTTTGTCTCGCCTGATTCACTTCCTCAGGCAGTCCAATTAAAAAGTTTCATTAATGTTTCACTAATTTAAGAGATTAAAAAAACTGCACAAGACAAGTTATCCGCAGTTAATAAGAACTAATTTTTCTTTCCCGTGAAGCCACAGTAACTTCTCATCTCTCCCTCACTGATCAGAGTAAACAGATTGGCAGCATTCACAGGAACTTCCTTTTAATGGATGCAGTTTATACAGCTGGAGCAGCGTTAACTGGGAGAAATGTATATGGAATGATTATGTCATGGAACATTTGTAATTTTAATTGTCACAATTTGGGAAATATGTAGCTCGACGCTACATCACGATCAATAAAAGAGAGAGTGCCAAATTGGCGAATGTCTTGCAAGAATTAACGACTTTTCAGACCCACTTAGCAACTTTATTTCTAAACAGTGACCAGCAACAATATAGCGACTTATTCAGGCCAACAGGGAAAAGGTGAGAAATATATTGAAATACATTATATTGCAATTAATCGCAATCCACGGCTCTTCTGTCGATAGCGTTGGAATCTCTCCCTCTCCTCTTGGGCCAGTCATTATGTGTGTATGGGGGTTTTGACCTTCTCTCTCACTCTTTCTCTTCAGATCTCTGGATTAGGATGTTCCTTTAAGCTTATATGTAAACAGCTTGTTTGAGTTTGTAAATATTTAAAGAGTTTGTTTGATCTTTTCCTTCCCTTTGTAGTATTTATTATATATCTTTAAATATACCTCCCTGAAGTGACTGTGTGATTAACTGGCTAAATAATAATAATGTGTGTGTGTAAATTTCCATCTCAGAACCAGGTTTGGATTTAAAGAGTAACTCAACTAATGACTAAAGAATAATGAACACTGATTGTGGCACTTGGGGGATTTACATTTTTATTCCGATATGCAGGGAACAACTAGCAGAACTTCCCTGTCGGACCAGAACGAGTCAATGAAATGATGCGAGTTACTGAAACAAAGTTATCAAACTATATTGATTAGGTTCAATTTGGGACAAGGGTTGTTACGTCTGGGACTTGCAGGATACTGCGGGAGGAAAAAAGTTTATTTTAAGCCTTGTGCACAGCGGGGGAAGCTAACTGTGGTTTTCTTTGTTCTGTGTGTATTTGTGTGTGTTTGTGTGTAACAGACACATGCTACATCCTGTCTTTTGCCATCATCATGCTCAACACAAGTCTCCACAACCCCAACGTGAAAGACAAACCCAATCTGCAGCGATTCGTTACCATGAACAGAGGAATCAACAACGGGGAGGACCTGCCCACCGAGCTGCTAACGGTCTGCTAATAACACCAATATCAGTGTCTCACTAATGTCCAATCTATCACAAACTGTACTTCCTTCTATGTGTCAGAGACATAGATTCAAACCTGTACTCACAGGCTCTACAGGGGTGATATTAATGTTTATCATGTTCACTATCTTAGTTTAACATTTAAGCATGCTAACATTTGCTTATACATATTAGTTAAGATTTTGACCTGATGATGGCGCTAGGATTAAAAGTCAGAGGATCACCAAAGTTATTACAATTCTTCCTGAGGGAGATATGAGTGTTTGTACAAACCTTTGTGGCAATCCATCCAATAGTTGTGGAGATATTTCAGTCTGCAAGTGAAGAACCAACATTGGCATCCTGAGAGCCGCCAGCATGGTGAAATCTCCAATAGATTTCAGCTTAGTGTTCGCAATACATTGTCACCATTATCTAAAGAAAGAATTTAATTAACTTGAAGAGAATCATTCGACTGATCTAAATCATAAATTCATTCATTCAATTTGGATAAATTTGATTTCATTTGTCTCCCGTTTTGGGGATTTTTATGATCTCATTATTTCCAATCATGGGGCTTTTTGTCTTTCATGCTGACAGAGTGTAATAATATATATATATATATATATTTTTTCTTATTACCCTTATTATTACACATATATATATATATATATATATATATATATATATATATATGAGGGCAGTGTTTCACTTTTTGTGATTTAGTCATCACATTTTGTGCTGAAAACAATTAATTTAGTGGGGTTTTTTGCAGCTGTTAAACAGATCAAGTGAAGGCAAATTTTATTTATATAGCCCCAAATCACAGTTTGCCTCAGGGGGCTTTACAATCTGTACAACATTTACCCTCTTTACCTGCACTTTACTTGAGTTAAAGTTAAATTTTTACTTATTTTCAGCTATTGATAGCTAGAAATCTTTAAATTAGTTGTTGACATTATCTAAAGAGAGAACCAGGAGATGATCGTTAAACTCAAATTACATTTGGCATTTCAATTAACTTTTGTTGTTTTGGGGGATTTTTATTCTCTCATTTGTCTCCAATAATCTGGATTTTCAGTTTTCAGTCTGACATTGAACGTTCGTCACTATGGGTTTTTTTATGTTTGAACTTCTACTTCTACTAACTATCTTCTAAGTAATGAGTGCAATGCAGGGCTTTCCCATTGCAGTGTTTTCGTTATTTCAGAATAACACAATCCCTCATCAGTGACTGTCCAAACTAATACTGAAACTGACTTTCTCTTCAAGAAACTGTACGCGAGCATCCGTAGCGAGCCGTTCAAAATCCCAGAGGATGATGGGAACGACCTCACACTGACGTTTTTTAATCCAGACAGAGAAGGCTGGCTCCTTAAAATGGGTGAGATGACAAAGAGATAGAAGATCATAACAAGTATCTGTGTCTTTTTTCCCCCCTAAATGTTTGATTTCTTTCTTTAAGGTGGCCGAGTTAAAACCTGGAAGAGGAGGTGGTTTATTTTGACAGACAGCTGCTTGTACTACTTTGAATACACCACAGTAAGTATCTGTGATGTTACATCCACTAAAATATGGAACTGTCAAACATCCCTCTGGTGGTCGAAAGGTTCATTCTGTCTTTAATATTCGTCTCCTCCTCCAGGATAAAGACCCAATCGGGATTATTCCTCTGGAGAACCTGTGTGTCAGGAAGCTAGAAGACACAAGCAAAACGGTAGAGTATCATTTACTTTTAGTATCGCAGCCTATAAAGGCGTGTTGAGCTTCCTCACACACATTATCTGCCGCCACTGAACTTAATGAATCACACAGCAGCTGCTGAATGAATTTCAAACACAAGTGTTCAAAACAGTGAGTCACGAGAAACCTATCAGAAAACCTGACAAAATAAACAGAACAGCATATGAACACAGTAACGGTGCTACATTGTGTTTCTGTGTCTCTGTTTGAACAGTATTGTCTGGAGTTATATAATCCCAAAGGACAAAAGATCAAGGCCTGCAAGACGGAGAACAAAGGCAGAGTGGTGCAGGGTAAACACCAGTCCTATAAGCTCAGCGCAGCCAGTGCAGAAGAACGGGACAACTGGATAGAGGCGATCAGGTGAGAGCTGTTGATGTGGCGGAGAACACGTGGGAGGTCAGGTGCCTTCAGTTTGTCAAGGCTGAGGCTGGAACAAATGATCACAAAGAGTTCAAATAAATAAAAAAAAACAACACAGATAAAAAAAAAACAATCCGACCTCCAGAATTTACACATCTTTCCAAACCTTCACGTTTGTCATCTTAAATCTAAAACTGCGGCTTAAATTGGGAGCAGTAGTCTGGTTGCCCGGCAACAGCTCAGAACCAAGAAATAGCACAATACATAAACAAATTGTCATTTCTTGTGTCTGTGTCTGTTTCTAAGACTCTACATTTGGATTGGCTGTTCAAATTAATGTGACCGTGTTGTTAAGATGGTAAAGGATCGTTTCCTTGTGTGGAGTTAGGGGGAAACCTTAAATGTGTGTTTTTAACTGGTTATGCCACAGAGTCCGATTCCCCTTGAAATCAATGAAACACTAACACTTTTGTCCACAGGGGCCGCCACAATCAACACAAAATAGAACACTAAGTAGAACATCTTACTTTTATTTTTGTTTTGATCAACTAATCTGAGTCTACAGCTATACTAGCAGCTCTGTGAGGAGTGAATGCTAATTAAAAATGTAACCTGATGATGGCACAAAAAGTCAGCAAAATCATTATAATTGATCCTGAAGAGGAAATGAACATATGCACCAAATCTTATAGCAATCCGATAGTCATCAGATAGTTGTTGAGCTGAAAAACTAAATATTTGCAGGGTCCAGTTGAAATGAAGCAATTTGAAGATAACACCTTGTGTTCTGGGAAATTGTGACAACATTTTTAACTATTTTCTATATTCTAATCATTAGTTGCAGCCTATCTATCTGTGAACGCAGTACAGAAGTCTCTGCTGTGACAAACAGGCAAGATAAAACTGTTACTAGTACAACTACTGACTCTGAATCCTGATCTTCTCTTTCAGGGCGAGCATCACCAAGGACCCTTTTTATGATCTGGTGTCTCTACGAAAGAGGAAGGTCATTAGCAACACTTCCTCATAGGACTTCCTCAAGATGTCAGAGCAAACTACATCTGATCCTGGACTGTTTTTTTATGATAGTAATTTAAAAGAAAACAAAACTTAATCACACATCATTTCAGAGAAATGTAAAAAAAAAAAAAAGTTGGGAACTAACGCGTGTGAAAAAGTGTAAATTCAGAAAAGTGAGATATTTCTGGCGTGCAGTGAAAGTCTTCACTTCTGCAAACTGCACGCGCTACTTCCCCGACTTCAAGGGCTGACAACTCCGACTGACAAACATCTGCTGCGGCCTGAGGGGTCCAGAGGTGATAGGTAGTCGACCTGGTAGTGTAATAGATGGATTACTGAACTGGGCCCACTGGGTTCAGGTCCAGGATACATTTGACCAACCTTCTGCTGAACTGTTAAGGTTTCTTGTAAAAATGTCAATCACAAAGAGATGCAAGGAGACCACAAAGAGACACAAAAGGACTACAAAGAGACATGAAATAGCCTAAATGAAGCACAAAATGACTATAATGACTCAAAACAACTCGGTCGGAGGTTTGGGGGCCTTTTATATGGCTGTGTCCAGGGGCCCATTGTCTCATAGTCTGTCGATGGTTGTCGGTTGTTTAGAGGTACAAATGGCAGCTTTTTATTAATTGGTTATTATTATTATATATTAGAATACAGTTGTTTGATTGGCATTCATTTATTACACTGAATCATTGCCAATTAATCAAGAGTGTAAAAGTTAAAATCCTCAATCAGTAGGAGAAGATTACGTCGCACTTTGTTAAACCGGGATTATGTTTCACTGGAGAAAATATGATTTATATATTTATCCAGTTTTTACACTTTTCTAACTTCTCTAATCGTGTAAATTCAGTCGTTACTACTGATGAATCGTTGTAAATAAAGTGAAAAGCTAAAAGATCCTGTCAAGTTTTAAAATTTAACTTATGAATACTTATATGAAATTGTACAATATATTTTATTTAGTTAGTAGTATTTAAACTACTGTATGTATAATGTCGTGACTTTATATGAATCAAACTACTAATAAACTTTTGAATCTGTCTGTGTGCCTGTTTCTCCAGCAGATGGTGCTACACTATCACTCCAGGACATTTCCATTGTGAACTTTTATTGTGAGAGACTGAATCTCTCTCTTACTGCAGCGATGATGTGACGTATAGAAATGAAAGTACTGAGAAATCCTGCTTATCTTGTTATTTTCACTATAATCAGATAAAGAGGACGTTTTATGCATTAAAGGCTTTTCCTGTGCAGTTCCTGTCATGTGAGTGTTTGAGATGCTGTGATACAGTTGTGGTTTCCTGGAAGCAGGTACAAAAAACAAAATGCAGCTTTTTTTTGGTTTTGCGTTTTGTTCATTTTCTTCACAATGTATTCTTCAAACAGGAGCGACGGGTTGTTTGAAATCTCTTGCGAAAAATAAACGTCTCAGGCCTCTTTCTGCAGGATTAGAGGACCGGCTTTACTTCCTCATTGTTTGGTGACCTCACTGCTGTATGTGTGCAAACAGTAATAATCTTCTGACCTAATTAAAACTCAATATGCAGAAATGAATTAAAGTGGTAACTTGCAGATCCGATGAACGTCACTGAATACAGAAACTATAATAAATTAATGTTATTCCACCAAATAAGTAAATATATAGTGTTTTATATGTTATATGAGCCATGCTTAAACATATACATGTCCCCTTTGTCTAAATGTCTTTAACAGACAAATAAATATACAGCATGTTATCCTACCTTACTTATGTTTGAACTTCCTGTTAGAACTTCCTGTTATCAACAAAACTTCCAATAACAGAATAGCAGTAATGTTAGTTGAGTCAGGAAGTTAATTGATATGTGGTAATAAAATACTTTTTAATCGTTGGGCAAGTCCAAGTGAAGTCAGGAGTCACTGGTGTTTTAAAGTTCAAGTGGAGTTACATCCACTGTTGGCTAATATGCAACTTCCCAAGAGACATTATTGAACATTTACTAATTGATATAAATTCCCAGCGTGAATCAATTTATTTTTTGTACTTGACAGATATTTTCTGAATTTAAGTTTGTACCTAAACCTCAACAGACCATCATATTAAATAAACAAACTCACTGAACATTTTTACGTAAATATTTGACTTGTTTGAAAAGTTGTTCACATTTGGACACATTTGTTTCCACTGAATACATTTAATCACACAATCTTCTGTTTTTATGTCTTTTTATTCCATTTCTTCTACAAAAATTTTTGGATTATCTCAAGTGGTTTCTCTCCAGAATTCACATTTTTAATTTCGCCAGTTTTGCCTGAATAACAAAATCCCAGAATGTGCAAACATACAAAGTGGCCGTACAGCAGAAACAAACAGCGTCAGCACTCAGCTCGGCCTACATTATTCACAGCCTGTACAACACACTCCGATGAACACTTACTCTGTTACCAAGGGTCCTCTGTAAGGCGACACTCAGGGACAACAGCACGACCGATCACTTTTCCTGTCTCCATAGCAACCGTGTCAACTCACAGGTGTGATGTAATCCACCCAGGTCGCAGCCCGGGTCGCAGCCCCGAGCTCCTCTGTGGTGTTCAGGTTCAAGCATACGTGTGCAAAATAAAAAAACACTTGACTTTAAGAATAATTTAATATAAAAAATAGTGGCGATGGAATTTGCCTCCAACAGCACTTTTGGCTACAATGTTAAGATTTTCTTTTCCTCACGTGATTAGTTAAACTACAACGTCAGTGGTCGCTCCCATAAGGCACAGCAGGGACTTTCAATCCCAAACTGAAGCCGTGTAACAGGCCACAGACACTGACTGCACTCTTGTCCTGTAAAGTAAAGTCACCTGGTTACAGTAAAGTGATACTGTGACTCAGCGTGTTTAACCATGAGAGACTGTCCTCTTGTTTTTGATCTCATGACTGGATGCAGTTCTTCTTTTGATGCCGCCGGCGGCTCTTGGACCCTGTTGACAGATTAATTACAACCATAATTAGTAGTGTGGAGAAATTAATATCACAATTAGAGACAGTGGAGCATCTCAATACTTCTTAAACCTTTAAACAGAAACAGGTTTGGGAACATTTTAAGTCAATATGGTGAACTGGCTAGCAAACAGTTTCTTATATACATATCCAGCAGTCACAGAGCAACATTGACCTTTATTTAGAGTCGCGTTTGTGTCCACCTGATGAACCAATATTCCAATATTCACTTTCTTCTGGTCTCTACCAACTCCTGAGGGAAATATCTGTCTCTCTAACTGTGTTTGCTGCTGAGGATTTAGAGATTTTTTCTCTGAGACTAACACTATGAGAGCACAGAGACTAAAATAAACGAGCTGAAGCTCACTGTGGCATTGTGAAGAGAAGTGCAATATAAATAAAGTTTCTGATAATATCATGATGATTATAAAGCTCCATAAAGTCGAGGGGAGCTGTAGATTAAGGTGATAATTCTCTGTAGGTTCATCAGTACAAGGGCCTTCTTTCACATTGTTATTATTAGGAAATTAAATCAGTTTCACCTTTTAAAAAAAACACACTTTTATAATCTTTTAAGTGTTTAATTATTGGGATTTGTCTTATTTGTTATCAAATTTTATTGTATGTGTATTATTTCTGCACACATTGCTGTGTATTATGTTATTTGTGTGTGTGTGTGTGTGTGTGTGTGTGTGTGTGTGTGTGTGTGTGTGTGTGTGAGTGTTATAATTTTTAATCTATTCTTAAATGTATCTCTGATTATTGGTCTAATATTTGTATCTGTTTACCTCATATATTGCTTTTAATCTCATTCTTTATTGCTGCTGTTTTGTGTGTATGTAAAGAACTCTGTACAAATATATACTAATAAAGTTATTATTATTATAAAAAATAACAACTTTTAATACAAACTGAATTCTGTCTGTAGCCACTTTCAGTACAAACAGTTGCTAAAAGTGTTTCTAAATGTTTGATTTGATTTGTCTGGATTTATTTCACGAGTCTGATGATGAATTAGATCAAGAGATTTTACTTTTAATTCAATTTAATATGGTGGAAAGTTAAACCACTAACTGACTTTACGGTGCATATGTGGATCCAGGTGCAGGTTAACATATTATTTAAAGTCTCCACTTTTCTTTTTATTGTTCCTTCACTTTGATGTTTGAGCTCAGCAGGTTGATTTATGTGACACTAGAATCAGTTTGTACATTCCTCTGCTGAAGGAGGAAAGTCTGGGCTCACTTTAAGTCTCAGTACACATGTTAAAGCGAGAACCAGAAATAGGAAATTGTGATATTTTTCACCAGTTTCTGATATTTTAGAGACCAGATGATTAATCGAGAAAACAATCTGCACATTAATCACTAATAAACTTCATTGTATGAAACAAACAAACAGACTGTGAGCACGTACCGTCTTCGTCTCCCGTGTTGATGGTCTGCAGCGACATACTCCTCTGAATGAGCTTTGAGGGCTTCTTGGTTTTGGATTTCAGCGGACCTGGTTTCTCAATGATCTCAAACGAGTCCTCCAGCTCAGTTGCTGCGACGCCATTGGTCTCTGGCATTTTACAGACGGGGGCGGGGCTCTGAGGAGTGACCACGCCTTCCTCTATAGTCTCTGTGCTCTGATTACCTCCCCTGCCTTTCAAGAAGTGCCTGAAGGAGCTGCGTTTCTTCACTCCGGCGGCCGGGTTCTTCTTCAAGCCCCCTTTTCCATCCTCATCCTCCTCCTCTGTTGGTGAGCCAGGACTCTGAGGGGACACTCGGTCCACCTGGTCCTTGCTGTCGCTGCTGGTATGAAGGTTGTGCAGGCCGTTCCTCTGGTTCAGCCCGCCGACCAGCGAGTCGCTCGGGGTCGACAGGTCTTGGAGGGAACCTGTTAGACCCCTGCTGTTCCCAAAAACTAAAGAGTACTTAGGGTTGTGGTATTTATGTGCAGGTACCTTTAGATCGACCTGTCTGGAGTCATTGATAGATACTTGAAAGCGAGACATGGAGACGGGTGGAGGCCGGACTGGCTCCACCTTTGGCTTGGTGATGGGCGTAGGTATAGGCGGCTTGGTGATGTTGAACTCCTTGTAGAGGTCCACCTGTTCAGACACGGCGTACAGCTCCCTGAAGTCATTGTCGAAGAAGTCCACAGTTTGTCCCGTCATCACGGTGATCGTGTTCCTGTCCATCCGAGAGGAACTCCAGGTGAAGCTTGACGAGAAAAAAGGGATTTTAAATTAAAAAACTTTTGTGTGTATTTGTATGTTAAATATGAAGCTACTGTCTGCTGGTTAGCTTAGCTTAGCATAAAGCCTGGAAACAAAAGGTAACAAAATCCACCCACCAGCACAGATTACACATCTTATGTCTTTAGTTTTGTCCAAACAAAAATGTTAAAAGGAGAAAAACACTGTTAGCTACACTAGTGGCCATTAACTCTGTAGGCATATCTACTCAGATAGTATTTTGCAAGCGATAACGTTACGTCCTTAGCGTCCTTTCCAAAATCAAATGGATTTTCGGGGGCAACAGAAAAAGTTGGAGGAATACTTCGTTATTTTAAGTTACATTACAACCTGTTGACTCATTGGCAATACAAATATGTAAAAGGCTTCAGAATCTTACATATGGAACCTTTAAGGGAGGGTAATGTCCGGGCAACCAGCAGAAACTCTAAAAACTTAATGGTCCTAGCCAAGAAACAGTTTGGTACACAACCCTCATATAGTTCTGCAAATTGTCATTTTTACACTTTGGTTTTTATACAAATTAAACAAACAATATATAATGTGTTAATTAACCTGCTGGTAGGTGGAGTTTATTACCTGAGGAAACATTCATCCTACCAGCTACTTCATTTACACTTTTAGATGAAACCCACTGTGGAAAATAAAATTCTCCTTTTAAGCATTTTGTAATACGGCAGTCCTACGAATCAGATTGTTTCTGTTTTTAAAACTTTATTTAAAAGTCAAACTGACCCAGATTTCTTTACGTAACCTTCCAGTCATAATGAACTCTCACACATGACTCAAAACATGACTGTGCTCTTTTCACTGGGCACGAATCGAGT